AATTCAACACTAAAATGTATTTACTGTTTGTGTCCACGCAGGTGTGAGATCATGTTTTCATTCATCCACTTTATACATTGAACAGAAATGAAAGAAACAAAATGAGCAGTGCTATTACTTCAATATAAAACAAAAAGTCCTTCAAGATTAAGACCATTTTAAGTTTTCATTCCCAGCAGAGCACTGGAAAGAAACTTCGATTTGATGGTATGACCTCTCGGTTCAGCTCCATTGGCCATCATCAAACAGTATGTTGCTCTTGGCTGTTAGTCGTGTTGGGGAGAACGTTGATGAGAACGTTTTATTCCTTGTATATTGTGGATCGGGCCAAATGTCATTGCTTTGTAGGGCTGAGGAATAATTACAATTCTTCTTCATTTTATAATCTTGAGTAGACCCGCACTCCACAATTAACCTGAAACTAATTTATGTACATCCTCATGGTATCTGACAGGAGGAGTCCTTACCTGCCTCATCCTCTGCAAATGAAATGATGTATTTATAGTAGCTGTTGATGAGTTTGGGGAATCTGCAGGTCTGGTCTCTTCCCATACAAATTTCATTGTACTGCCATTCACCTGTCATCACATTCTCCTTCAAGGACATCAGGCGCCTGGGAAGCAATGAACATATTTTATTCATTAACGCACACATTCAAATGGCCTTTAATCCAAAGCCTGCAGAGAAATGTGGAGATGAAAGCGTGACAGAAGTGCGCACCCGCTCATGAAGTCTCCAAAGATGTAGAGTCCATTCAGGTTGGGCATCTGGCAACCTCTGTAGATGTAACCCCCCGTCACTGATTTGCCCAATTTATGGGGGTAGGCAAAGATGGGCAAGATGTCATCTGGGTAACATAAAACACATCTGTCTTTAGAGAGAAGTCTTTGAATAGCGACCAAATGTATTCATTGACACACGAAGAGCAAAATATTTGCTTATAATGAATAGTCATATTTAATTGTGGACCTTGTTAACATTGTCGATCATTTGTTCATTATATAGTTTATCTATACATCAATTTTCTATACCACTTGCCTTCATTCTGTTGCTGATCTTTGAGTGAGAGGCGGAGTACACTCAGGATTGGTCGCCATTTATTCGCAGGGCACGTAAAGACAACCATGCACACTTGAGATTGTCACCCAAGGACAATTTAGATGATTTATTTCACCCAAAATGCGTATTTTTGCGAATGTAAGAGGAAACCCATATCAAGGACAGGGAGAACTGTGCTGCCCTTCATAGTTTGGAATTTTAAATAAACAGAATCTTCCAGATTAGGTTTAGATATTGCAATGTGTAAATATTCATAACAGGTCAGGAGTATCTATTTTTTTTTTCTTGCATTGTAAGCGAATGGAATGGAATAACTTTGCGTGCAACTGGCACATACAACATGCATGGTAACGTGAACACGTTTCACACCCTGCAATGGAAAACTTCCCAGTGGTTTGCGGCGGCTTTCTGCACAGCATAAAACAAGTGAAATCAAGTCGCCTCACCTAGCGATGAGTTACGACAGAGTTTGCGATCGTAGCAGCTGAAGCCTTCTTTTGCCCTCCATCCATAATTGCCTCCTTAAAACACATGGCATCGTTAATGGAACACCTTCTATCAAATGACATTTCATTCCTTCATAATGAAAAAAAAAACTGCCTCATATTGTTGATGATGCATTTCTATGAATATTAAACGGAACTTTTTGTGCAGTTGGTATTCCCCTTTTTCAACAGTGCTTCTTGCCATTATATGTTATACCGTTTGGAATGCACGTTTATTTTTCCATTTGTGAGGAACACACATTTATGGGATGAGGAGTACATCGTAGAAGGGTCATTGTACCCGACGCAGGAATGACTAGCAGGTGCCTGAATATATTATGATGTCGTCAGCCAGCATCTCCATCGTCATCGGAATCGGCAGGGCTGTGCGGTTTGTGCTCGAGTGACCAACCACAAAATCACCACACAGGAATGTGTGACCAGGCGAGTGACCACCATGAGAAAGAAGTGCCAGTTGTTATCGGGGTCTTCATCATTCACTTGAAACGAAACCGGCTATACTAAAAGTATAGAATATATTGAAAAGCATCATTCTTACAACAGAGATTTACTGAAAACACATTTTGAATTACATGAGCACTTTCATACATGATTAATCAAGCATAACATTCAACCACTAGATCTATTTTTTTCCTGTCCAGCAAATAATGACAATTTGACATATTGATCAAGAAATAATAATGTGCTTGATCAGAATATTTTGTCTGCTTGTAAAACAATACATCAAAACTTTATGGTAAACGTAATAATGCCAGCATTAAAATTTAGCCCAAATATCATTTTGGAGAGCATCTACAACATTGACGGAATGTGAAGAGGAGAGCTTGGGGAGCACAAAAAGAATTCCACATAAAAGTGGATCACTATTTCTGGATAAAAATGCCCCATTGTTGTTGATTTGGAGCAGCTGTGGAATAAACTTATTTACTCGGTATGATGGTCTGAAAAATGGAATACGAAAGCACGTTCTTACAAAGAGCAATAGTCTGGATCACAATGGGAAAATCATTTCAATGTACCTTTGAGAATGAGGTCGATTTCTTCATATTTGTTCTGGCCGACATCGCCACAAAACATCCTGCCTCGGCCAAAGCCTGTTTTCGGGTCTCCGCGGTCAATAGAGCAACGCCACATGTTGCGCACGCCATAAGCATAAATCTCTGCAAGGGGACGTTTTTACACATACAAATGAACAGGGCGAAGATTGAATGCAAATGGGATAAAACCTCGATATCATTTCAGGAGTAAATAGACATTGTCAAATCAATTAATTCACACAATATTTGTAGCATGACTATAGGACTGCCACGCATGTACCTGGGAGGCTCCCCTTCTCTCCCAGAAATGGGTTGTCTGAAGGGACGCTGTATGGTGCACCATCATCATTGTCGTTAATATCAACACGTAGCACCTTGCCAAGGAGGGTTGACCTACGAAAGCAGAGTGTGACTTGAAGAGTTCGAAGAACATAGAGAATGTGTCTTCATGGCGTTTTTATTTTCGACAAAGCGTGTTCGCCATCCTTTGGATTGAACCACCCGGCAACAGTCAACCCGGTCAAACTGAAACATCTCTTGGATTGGATTCTCACATTTCAATTTTGATGCACTGCAGCAACCACTTCTAAAAGCCTTTTCTCTCTCTCCCGAAGCTCCCCTCCTCACCACCTTCCAAATTCCAAAGTGTGGCAGCCCGCAATGTGTCGTGTCAATATTAGATTTGGCCAAGTGTACCCTCCTTCATTCCCCACGGAGTTAAACTGCATGTCAACACAACCACTCAGACAGTTAAACTGTACCTTTCAGGAGAGGTGGTTTCACTTTGCAATCACTGAACCACAAAAAGGAGTTCGTCAGACAGAGATTAGTAACACAGGCGATTATATGGTATGAAGATGAAATATAATATGGATGGATGATTATTTCAAACTATGTACCGGTACTTGTTTTGGTTGCTATTTATGATGCGACTGTGATGTGACATTCATTCATCGATTTTCTATTATCCTCACGAGGGTCGCGGGTGTGTTGAAGCCGATCCCAGCTGACTTCGGGTAGTAGGTGGGCTGCGCCCTGAACTGGTTGTCAGCCAATCGCAGTGTTTATGTGACATTATTCTTCAAATACGAGCAGATGAGTCACAGCCACATTGGCTGCTTTTGCCGGGGGTCACTGTGGCTTGATCGGAGTGGATGATGACATCTAATAGCATTCATTGGTTTTTAAATTGCATACTGCAACATATGAAAATAAAAACACCCATGGGGAAACATAGTCCATTATTAACTAGGTAATGATTTGACCAGATTTCAGAGGTGAGTAACAATGTTTATGAACACAGGGTAGGCAATTATGTCTGCACTCATTTTTATAAATCCATTTAATATGAGATTGGGGGCCCTACTTTTTTTTTTTGTCCAGTACAAGTCCAGCACAAAGTGAGGTCTAACTGTGGACATTAGCGGCGATTCCTTTCTTTTCCTATTTTTGTAGGTAGAAATGGGCATTTGCGCCGTTATGGGGATGCACGCAGCTGGCTTGTTTCACGACTAATGGAAGCCACTCCCCTCGTTCCCTTTAAAATCAGAACAGGAAAGTCGCGCGGTCTAGACCAGTGATCCCCAACCTTTTTTTGCGTCACGGACCAGTTGAGACAAGTACATGGTACTTGTGGACCAGCAACCATTTTGTCATTGCTTTTAAATTGGCGGCTTTAAAGCACTGGTACTGACAACAAAGATAATTTATAGAGTAATTAAACATTTTATGAACAGATTTTTTTTTCATTAATTTCAAACTTGTGTTGTTCTATTGTACAACAAATGTAGAATAAAATAAAATAACACAATGAACTACTAAGAAAGGGCCAATCAGGCCTTATAGTGTAAACCTAACAATACTTAAGGTATTTATGACCCTACGTACATAGTTAGCATCATTGTTACTTGGGTATTAGTTGTTCAAATGATTCAACAGATTTCTTGTATTTTAATCAAAACAATTACAGGAATGTAATTATAATATACAAATGAAATATTTGGTATTAAGTATTACTAATGCATATCCATTTTTCTCCACACACATGCGTGAGACACAATGATTTGATAATACTCACTTGTTCTGCGAGTTGCCAAACTTTCCAAAGGGGTCCCCAGCTCGGCCACCATCTCCAATGAAGATGTACAAATATCCGTCATGGCCAAACAAAAGCTGCCCCCCATTATGATTGGACGCTGGTTCTACCAGCTCCAGGATGGTTCTACAGTTTGGGGGCGAAAACAAGAACATGAGCTCGATTCATAATTGTGCATGTGCAGACTACACTCAAGGTAGAATTATTGCCCAAAATGATGTAGGACCTTCCCCCTCACCTCTCTGAGTTATGGTCAAGTTGGTTGTCGTCATGTGCCGACAGTGTGAACTCGCTGATACGTATCCTCTCCGACCTCTTGACAGACACCGAGTAGTAAACATAAGCTTTTCTAACTATGGTGAACCTGCAGGTAAGTAAGATACGCAATTAAACACTGGAGGATTTGATTTTTCCAATGGAAACTTGACAGATTAACATTGATATGTGCGTAACAACTTTGGGATGAACTAAGACTAGAGATTCTGTCATTCAGGCCCCCTATGCCCAACGTCGGAGCCCGCTGACTTAATACAAAAGGTCTTTTTGATGAATGGACAGAAATAGCCACTGATTTTTGGCAGAAAGTCGCCCGAGATGTGAGGAATTTGTTTTAGTGTGAACAGCTCCATATTTTCTTAAATTATCATCGCTTGGAAGGTGTACAAAAAAAAAAAATGGGAGTGAACTAACCTTGGATGCAGGGCTATGCACAGGAATCCTCTCTCATCTCCAGCCCAAGGTGATGTCAGCACAGCCCGAGTGAGGTTGAGGAACGGACGATCGATCCTGGAGCCGTTCGGCAGATAGACCCACACGTAGCCCAGCTGCTCGGCCACGAAGAAACGATGCGTTCCGTCATCCGCGTGGATCATAGCCACCGGGTTCCGGAGCCCGTTTGCAACTTCCTGCAAGCAGATCTCTAGACAGCCCTCGGTGTCCTCTCGAACAGAACCCAGATTAGCATTTAGTTCTGCAGATGGGCAAGAGGAGCGTCAAGCTAACGACGTGAACATATTACAAAGATATTTTGAGCAATTATTATCGAAACACTTCCGCTTTGTAGGCCGATTGCTAGCACATATGATTTTGACAATATGACTTTTTTTTCTTTGCCATCCTGGAACGTAATTCTATTTTTCTTTGTTAGGAAACCGAATCCTTTTGATTTGCCGTCTTTTGTGATTACATTACAGGGACATGACAAGATTCTTGTTCTGACAAATCCTCATTGAGTTTCCACATTTCATGCGCGTCTGATTGTAACCGTGCATCTGTTTGTGTCGGCATACCTGCATTTGTCAAAACATTAGGGTAGCAGTACTGTTTGTCCTTTAGCTCCAGAAATTCACAGAAGAGTCTGTGATCTTCCTCTAGTGTGGCGGTCAGATTTGCATACTGTCCTGGGCTGCCCTGGTCCTCCAGGAGGAGACTTAATGTGTATCTACACTGGTTCCAGTAGTCGTTGCAATAGTTGCCACACAGTCCGGGCAAAATGCGCATGGGTGTGTTTGCATCCTCTGCATCATACAGGTGGGCGGCATATGGGGAACACTCCTGCACAGGGTTAGAAATTTCAGCAATGACACGGCAATTCGAAAATACATTTCCCACGGTAACGCTGTTCAATTCTTTTCGAACGCTATAATTATTGCACGAGACCAAAGAAGCTGGGAATCCTGAAATTTGGGAACCATAATGAGATATCCTGCATTCACAGGAATAAAAGTACACAGTTCTGGTATTGATCATGTTTGTCAGTGCTTTCAATTTAACTGTATGGATCAACTATATGCCAAAAGAAATAATTCTGTGAGAAATTCACCAATGAGCATAATGTATTTTCAGCAGCTCGTTTTTTCAGCTCACTCCGTGATGTCATCAGATTGCATCAGAAAACTTGGCTTCATGCCAAGACAATGGATGAATGACCGACCTTATTATGCTATTTATATTAAAGCATGCAAACAGAACACTGCAAACAGCTGTGGCAGAGAAATACCTAAATGTTGATTTTTGGATGTTTTCTTTCCACTAAACTGAGCGAGGACCAAAAAAAGCTTGCAAAAAACTTAAACAAAGCATCAGCGACATTTTTGTGCCTTCATGTGGTCAAAGATAATTTCCTTTGTCCTCTCAAGGGAAAAAAGAGAGATCATTGCGCTGTTTTGGCAATCTGGATGCCTTTGTTCAGGCTTAATAAATAAGCGCTGCAGTCATGAGTACATTTGACAATATACCGTAGTTGATCTCAGGAGTGAAAGTTAATAATGTACATAAACAGACGACGTGCGTGTTTATTTCCTTGCAGCTGCCTCACCGACGTCCAGCCAAGTCTTTGGTTAAACAGCTCATGTTTGTGTGTGTGTGTGTGTGTGTGTGTGTGTGTGTGTGTGTGTGTGTGTGTGTGTGTGTGTGTGTGTGTGCGTGTGTTTGCGCTTGTGTACGTGTAGCATGTTATAAATGGATACAAGACAAGGTTCAGCCGGTTATTAAGTCAAAACCGCGCTCTCGACCACACCCAAAATGGTGAACTAAAGGCACGCGGAGACACAAAATCCAAACCGTGGTGTGGTTGTTTGTGGCCGTGAACCGGACTTGCCTCTCTGACAAGAAAAGAGCAGATTTCACGGTTGTTGTTCTTGATTGATGACACTTTTGATAAAGTGCGTCGTCATATTTATTAGCTCATGGAAAATCAAGACTGTATCATCTGAGTGTATTTACCTCCTCGGGTTTATTTTTGCATGAAGAAATGACATCATTCATGGAATAGGTTGAAAGGTTTGTTTTTGGGGTTGGTCATTTTTATTTATTTTTTTTTAGAGAGGGTGAGCATGATACATATCACAGTTTTGTTTGGATCATATTGACAAATAATGTTTTTAGATTTGGAGATTTTAAGAAAACTTGTGATCTCGCATGAGCCAAAAATTGAGTAAGCGGACTGTTTGACACTCAAGCAACTTCACTGAAACCGCGTCCATCTATTCGGCTATGCTAAATAAAACACAGAAGTGGGAAATGGACTAGTGACAAAACCGTAATCATCCGAAAGGAGAATAGTTTGATTACAAACCTCACAAAGCTGTGTTGTGAATCCAGCTCCTGGAAGAGGGAATAAAACCGTCTACTTAAAATTCTTCTGTTTACCGAAGCTATATAAACATAACTATTTTCATATATTGTGTGTGTTATTTGAAATATGACAAGAAAAAGTCTCTGTGCTTGAGTCACTCCGCTACTGTTGTCAGATGTCGGTCAGGCATGTGTGAAGCGCCGACTTGACTGCAACGAAAAACGTGATGTGAACGTCAACGTGTACCATTGGCATATGGATGAACATTCCAAATCAGAGATGGGAGCGCACGCAGTAACTCTTTGATGCTAAGTGAATGCAACCATCATTTTGATTGCAGGTTTGGTAGTTTTAAACACACAAACACACGCCCACAGAGATCCGACCACAATCGAAAGCTTCTAGTTCCATTTTTAATCACCATCATTTTATCCCCTGTGCAATGTATTTCTTATCTCATTGAAAATCTTTTCTTTGATTTCTTTATCCCTCATGGAGGAAATTCAAATATCCTGTCCCCCTGGCCAGAAGAGGATGTGGATGTTTGTTTGGTCCATGAAGTTTGTGAGAGGGGGTGGGGGTAAGCGGACTGTTTGACACTCAAGCAACTTCACTGAAACCGCGTCCATCTATTCGGCTATGCTAAATAAAACACAGAAGTGGGAAATGGACTAGTGACAAAACCGTAATCATCCGAAAGGAGAATAGTTTGATTACAAACCTCACAAAGCTGTGTTGTGAATCCAGCTCCTGGAAGAGGGAATAAAACCGTCTACTTAAAATTCTTCTGTTTACCGAAGCTATATAAACATAACTATTTTCATATATTGTGTGTGTTATTTGAAATATGACAAGAAAAAGTCTCTGTGCTTGAGTCACTCCGCTACTGTTGTCAGATGTCGGTCAGGCATGTGTGAAGCGCCGACTTGACTGCAACGAAAAACGTGATGTGAACGTCAACGTGTACCATTGGCATATGGATGAACATTCCAAATCAGAGATGGGAGCGCACGCAGTAACTCTTTGATGCTAAGTGAATGCAACCATCATTTTGATTGCAGGTTTGGTAGTTTTAAACACACAAACACACGCCCACAGAGATCCGACCACAATCGAAAGCTTCTAGTTCCATTTTTAATCACCATCATTTTATCCCCTGTGCAATGTATTTCTTATCTCATTGAAAATCTTTTCTTTGATTTCTTTATCCCTCATGGAGGAAATTCAAATATCCTGTCCCCCTGGCCAGAAGAGGATGTGGATGTTTGTTTGGTCCATGAAGTTTGTGAGAGGGGGTGGGGGGGGCGGGGGGAGGGGTCTCTTTCACTCTCACTGATATCAGTGCCAGGAGGCTCCCACAGTGTCCCTTGGAACAGGGACGGACTCTCAGTGGAGTGCCTTCATCAAAAGAATTGTATCCGGGAAGTGGTCAAACTTTAACTCAGTGGGGGTCTCCATCAATAAGTGACAATTGCAGAAATAAAAGAAAAAAAAGTTTTGAGAAATAAATAACGACCAGCATGGCATTAATTTGAGCAGCCTTTTTTTCAAGCTCCACTCAGCTAACTGTTAAGTCACTCCAAAAGCACAGTGCCGCTTTCAGAGCACCTCTGTAGACTATAATTACCATCGTGTTCCAAACCTGTACTTAAAAGAGTCAGAGGGTTCGTCATTGTCTTAACATCATGCACTTTTTGTTTTCTATGTTAAGTCCTGTCGGGAGGTTTATGGGCCAGTCTTTAGCTGAGCTAGACAGCTTTTAATTCACACTTACGTGGTTTAGAGTTCGGAGTTGCACAACCAGGATTCGATTATGCAATCGGCAGGCGGGAAGAGTTTGGCGGCTCGCTGCGCCAGGAAGCGAGTTGTGGGAGTTTGAGTGCGAGCAAGGAAAGCTCCGTGTACTTTGAAGAACCACTCAGTCCAGAAAAGAGCCCGAAATATCGCCTCGGCGGAAATGGACAGCTGTTTATTAGGAGTGCGAGTCCTCTGTGAGGAAATTGCAGCAGACTGGGGCAGTGTGAGTCATTGTTTTGAAAATAGCTTTAATTGCTACTCCTTCAGACCACGTCTGCTGCCTCTCAAGTTAAAGCAACGTGTATGTCGATGTGGTCATTCAGTCGTCTAATGAGAATGAACACACTCGAAAGTTCGAGACCAGCGTAATTCCGACAAACATTTGATACGGTGTATGTCGCGGTTTCTTTCAGTAAAAAGTTCCATGAAACATTATTTAGCTCATTTGAAAGACGGCACATTGGTTAGTTTTGCTTTCCTTTGCAATTATGTCTAATTGAAATTTATATTTCGAGCAACATAATAAGGGGCGGGGCCATTGTGTCACACGTTTTTGGTTGTTTTTTTTTTTTTTGTCAATTATACAGCATAATTTGGGGCCATGAAGAGTGATATCAATTTGGTCACAATGTTTAAATTCAAAGCAGTACAGTTAATTGGTTTGCAAGTCTGCCTAATGGTTCGGAAGTTCGGGGTTGAAATCTCATCTACAGCCGTCATGGGTGAGCTTTGCATGTTCTCCCTGTGCTTGTCTTAGTTTTCCGCTCGTTTCCTAAAAACACAATAGCTACTATTTTGCTCATAGGTCCGAATTTGTGTTGGTTGTCATCAATATGGACCCAACGATTGACTGTCGACCAGTTCGGGATGTACCCCACCTTTGGCCCAAAGTCAACTGTGACAGGCACCATCTCACAAGCGACCCAAATGAGAACAACGTAGCAAAAGGATGGACGAGTAAACTTTTTTTTTTTTTTTTTTTACTACTATGACATGCTCATTGTGTGATGTTCTGTGTCTTGTATTATTTTGGAGTATAAGAGGGCCAATCAATCAAATCACTATCATCTATTCGGTAGTCAGCAATCACAATGTATCTCACGCTCACCTGGCAGAGGATGCTTCGTATGTACCTTCCACAGGTGACGTAACCAGAATGATCAAAGTGTTCCATGATGGAGTAAAACTTTGCCGACAGCTGATGATCCTTTTCGTCGTCACAGCATCCAAATTTGGCATACTCTTTGCAGAAGAGCAATGGCCTCTGGGGTTCAAACGGTGGCTTGTAATCCAAACACTGAGGATGACAGCCCCCCGACCCCGCTTGGGTGAGCAGGAGAAGCATGGTAAGAAGGAGATGAGGCGGCAAGTCCCGTCCCGGGATCTGATGCAGGTTCAGGATGCATGTTAATAATGTCATTTTTTTTTTTCAAAGAAAGTTCAGTAGGGTTTGATTTAACCTGCTGGTAATGTGATAACTCAGCACAGCTTGTGAATGGTAAGTGTGAAGTTAGATGTAAATAAAACCATCAATGTGACGTGAACAGGCGTCATGAGAAATTAGACATATTTTTTAACAACGACATTTAGGTTAGTTCAATTGACGGCGGATTGTGAATCAGTGATGTTCCTGGAGTTTTGTTTGTGAGCGTGTACATCAAACACACTGACCACTCATCACACCTGTTCGCAAATTGTTTGACAGCTCACTCCAGTTAAATCTGAAAAATATCCCCGCATATCACACCTGCATGACAATCTGTGCTAAGAGTTAAAAAACAAAAGAGGGTGCAGTGATCCAGGTCCAGCGCTTCCTGCGGTAATCTGCTGTGCATCTGCCCAGGTGATTTGTGGATGATGCCCCCAAAGTCCTCAATGTGTCAATCGCTGCTCTTCAATCAATCAAGTTCTCACATCCGTCACATGACAAACTGCCCAAAACAAAAGCAGTTGCCTGATGCTGAGCAATCCTTACGAAAACAGCCTCATGGCAAAGATGCAATCCAGCCTCTTGGAAGAGATGCAAAACGTGCAATGAAGGAATCGACCGCTGCTTCAGCCCAATGTCGCCTTTTGTCTGAAAAACGACGCGTCCTTGTTTTCGTTTTCTCAGCGCATGTGCTCGGGCGCTCCGGTGAACGGACAGCCTGCACGCAGACAGCACGGGAGGAAGAGTGAGAGAGAGAGAGGTCCTTTCATTCAGACATGCAGCGAGCCAGCCACACTGCAGCTGACTTGAGATCCCTCCCTCTTTACGTCTTTTCTCCACCTCTATCCCTTTGCTCGCCTACAAAGACTCACGCATTCCTCCTCCAAGCATGTGGTCTATGTTGCCCTGAAGTTGCAACTTTCCAACTCCCCCCCCCCCTCCCCATTTCTACCCTCCTCAGCATTCCCAGACCTCCTCTCCCGTCTCTGTCATTTCCAGACAGACGCATTCACATGCGTGTGTGTGTGTGTTGGGGGGTGGGGGGGGGGTGTTGTTGTCGGGCTGATGAATCAGGACGTGTCTTGGGAGTAGAGGCAAATGGAGTCTCGATGCATTAGTCTTGTGTTTTTATTGGGAAAGTGAGAGCCCTTCAGCCTTCAGTTTTGCTCTTTACTGTCTGTTCTGTAACTGGCATTTACTGTCTTTGGTAACTGCCGCCTGCCGCATTATTCGAATTGACAATATTGTCATTGTTATGAAATGAGTTTTCATCTTGATGCACTCCTGAACATCCAACATGCTTACAGATATGAGCTGGCGGTCACCGTGAACTCAAAAGTTCTCATTCTGAGCTTCATCATGAATGACCAAAAACTGCATCTGAATGCAAATATTATTTGGACCTCGCGTGTTGGACTTTCTAGAACGGATCAAAGAGCATTCATTTGTGTGCGCACGCGGATATTTATGTTCTCATTAAGTTGCTCCTCAATGCGGGACCCCTTTGCCACCCACCACTTTCTAACCGGCAGACACTTTATCAGTTTGCACTCCACGAGATACTTTCTTCACGGCCTGGCGCTCACTGCATTCGCTGAAAAGAGGGACACGATTCTTCCATGAAGTAAAACCACACGCACCCACACCTCATCCTCAATCTGACTCAGCGGCTAAGTCACTGTTTTGGAAAAACGCGGCTTAATAGCAACTGTCTCCGATTTACGACTGCGATAGAGCCACATAAATGTTGCACAGTCATTCGATGACCAAGAGCGAGAACACTTGCCAACTTCAACATGTACAAAATGGCGCCTTAGCATCTAACAGCGCGGCCGTGGGTCGTTGTCATTAACTGACGATCAAATCAATGGAAATGTAAAGTGGGTTACTATCATAAATACATTGTGTTTACTTTCATCAGCCCTTGGCAGTGTCGTGGTTAACTCGAGTTCATGCAGCGAGGTCAAGGAAATTGACGGAAATACCAACCAGTGAGAAATGTTGCGAGAATTCCTCAGATTATTAGTCACTGTGTGTCATTAGATTGTGCAGCAACGCCTGGCCAGACCCCAACACTCAGCCAAGGCCTGCTCAGAAACGATCCCCCGAAAAATATATTTGAGTGAGCCTCTGCGGCGACCCCTGATAGGACAACCCACAAGTCATAACAACAATAAAATTGCACTTTTGTCTCAAGGCTTCAAAATTATCCTTCACTTCACTTTGTGTTTTATGTTGGTTTTTTTTTTTTCTCTTCTCTACTGTTGTGAACTGTACTAGCCTGGCAATACAACCTTGAATGCAGGTGGCCGGATATTTGAGATATTGGAGATAGTTTGTGACGTCTACATCTCTGCAGCTCAGGGGCATCATCGGTTGTTTGGGACTACATTTCTTGGTTTTTGTTTCCACTCTGAGATTGTATTTTACCTTGATAGTCATTTGAATGCATGAGGGGGGTGAAACTACAACTAAACTGAAATGATTTTCTTTTCGATACTCAGGTTATGTTTTCATGTTGACTTTAACAACATATAATATATATAACAAAATAATATTCCAAATATTTAGAAAGGTATGACTTTTTTTCAATAACAAGAATTATGGAGGTGAATATGTGGAGTTGAAAGAGCCCCATTAAACTGGGAGGGAAGTGGGCTAAGGTGTGTGTGTGTGGGGGGGGGGCGTCAGTGTTCTTGTCTAGACAAAAAAGGATTAAATATTTTTATTTTCTTGGATTGATATCAGAATTATTCGGCCTAGAAAGGCTCCTTCTCATGTCAATATCATAGAAAAAAAACATTTCGAGGCAAAAGGGGACCTCATAATGATGCCAATGTGACTGCTGGATTTGAAAACCAAAAACAACAAAATAATCGCATTGTCTCGTACCTTTTGTTATTTGGCCATTCCCAGCTAGTCATTTCTCTCCCTCCTCATCATTTAGACTCCTTAAGGGGGAATGGGGGAACTCATTAAATTCCATGATTGAATCTTTACATCAACAGTCGCAAAAAAACAAATACTGTAATAAGCAGAGTTAATGTCAAATGTCAAACAAAAGGAAGAGCGTGCCCTAAAGTTGCACAAATTTCCGTTGAACTGAAAATTTTCAGAACATATGCTGGAAACTACCATGGGCATATTCCGCAATACTTGAGCAAAGCTTAACGAGTCCATGAGTGGAACTCCATGTGTGTTTTGCTCTCCCTTTACGTTTGTAGTCTTTGAAGTTTTATGTGGTGCCTCCACAGTAGGCTGCGCCTGGCAAAGAGGAAAGAGGCACACGTGTATTCTGGATTCTCAGAAGAATGAAACGCAAAGTCAGCTTTTGTCTGTGTTCGTGTGACAAAGACTCTGCGTACTCAGTGAACGTTTTTGGGATCAAATGTAATTCACAAATTGTTTTTTTTTCTGGATTAGTGCTTACTCACTTTTACGTACTATGGGGAAACAGAAAGATGCACATTTTTCAAGGAAGGACGGGAAAATTAAAAGGCAAACGAGCCTCTCATCTCACCTCATGATTTTAATGAAGTTATTTTACAGATGATTCACAAAAGTGCATTGCCAGCGGAAAGCAATCTCAATGTGTAAAACCTCACCAAAGTCTAAACACCGTTTTAACAAAATAATAAATACATCTCTGAATGAGTTTTGTCTCACTGCATGTGTAATTATGACGTGTTTAAAACATAAAACAAAATGTTGACGTCCTTGGATGCGGCAAGAAAAAAATGAACAGTCATATTTTAATCATGCACATTAAGTGAAAATCATAAGACGATGTGACCAACTGCATTATTCATTCATCGCTTGTCGCAGTGAACTACTTTATGAAAAAAACAGGAAGTAAAAACAGATACATATTAACATGGACTGTAGATTTTAAAATTGATTCATAGTTTAATTGGCTCAATTATGCAACAGTGTGCTGTCAGTTACTTATTCATAAAAATGTGTCAGACATTCGGAAAAGCTCTTTGTTGCTTGTTGCATTGCCAGACCACAATGTTTTCATAGTCCTCATTTAAAGAGACCAAAAAAAAAACATGTCCCTGGTCCATATGGTTCTGTGATGCATGGCGTCACTCTTTGTCCGGACCTTTTTGAAGAATGATGCTGGACGTCTGGTTAGTGGGGGAAAAAAGAGATGATAATGCTTATGTTAGGGAAATATTCATCGTTGCATTTTGCTACCCGAAAATGCAAATGTCAGGAAGCAAGTCGTCAGGTCAGCTTGCGGAGTCATTAAAGTCATGATGCTGCTGTCCTGGTTTATATTCCTCTGGATGTTCTCTAGTCTAGTGACTTTCTGCACAGCAGCTTTTGCACGAAAAGAAATGATCTGCCGTGTGAAAATTGATCCGACGCTGCCCTTTGGAGATCAAATCCAGTTTGTCACACTGACGAAGGAAGATGAAACGAAAAGCAGTGTAACAAACAGCAAGGTCAGAGTGAATGACGTCACGAAAGATTTCCTCAACAGCTTCAATGCAGTAATACCGACAATTTTAAGAGAAAGTAGAATAAATCACTGAAAGTCTCCCGGTTCACTCACCTCACTTCCGCGCAGCCAGGCGTGTGTTCAGTACCCACTCAGTGAGAAGGTGTATCGACTGTAAATATGGAAGGGTCTCCGTCTCTTTTTGTACCTCTCGTCCAAGTCAACTGGGAAAGGCTCCAGCTCCCCACAGCATCCCTGGACAGAATTAGCAGCATAGAAATTGGATGGATGGATGGATAAATGGATGGGCAGATTACAGTAGACTCCTAAAGTCTGCCTAAAATACAAATTGAAAGTAATCATGCCCACACAGCGTGTATTTAAAGTGACGGCAACATTTAAATCCTACTCACTGAACCTCGATTGAGTAATAACATGAAGAAAATCAACTCACATTTCTTTTGAGTGTTCCTTGGGAGGGTGATGTCTTTCGTAGCAAGATAGGTGATAGTTTGGGATTTGGTGGAGGGCATAATGCCCCCAAATTTCTTTTTTTTCCCCCCATTGTGGTCCATGCTCTCTTCTTTGGGTAGTCCAAAAGACTGAAAGTTCTACAGAACACTGACTTGACTTGACATGGAGACTAAAAGGGTCATGGACAAGGGCCACTTGACCTTTGAAGAATCGCAAACTACAAAGCCACTGTCAGAGGATTATTGTGCACTTGTGCATTACATGAACAAAAGGAGGGGTGGACTATTAATAGGTTCCAGAGTAGGTCCAGTGCCTGCAGAGCTGCCAGTTTGCTCAGAGTGCTGCAACAAATATTGTGTAATATAAACAAACACTTTTGATCAACTCAGCGGGAAAAAAAACAGAAATATCTTTTCATCATTGAGCAAGTAATGATACTGCTTAAAATCTCTTCCTCAATTCACTTCAATCCACTGAATTCCTGTTCTCTGACACGTCATATCATATTTCATCACCTTCTTCATGTGTTTTCTTCTTCTACTTTGTAACCCGCCTTCTTCAACTTTGAAGTGATTATTCTGCCAGTCATGCACATGCGTTGAACTCATTATCCCTCTCTTTTTTCTAAATTGCCCTCTCGCAATCATCACCGTTGCCTCATTTCAACCCATTTCCTTTTACTGCCAGCTCGTTTTTGTCTTTGAAGCAAGCATGGTTCTATTCTGTCTGCAAAGTCATCTAAGACCAAAATCAACGTGACAAGTTCAAATGCACTCTAATGAGCTCCACGGGGAGGCTCCCCTCCAGCGCACACGCAGTGCCCTCACTTGAGATGGAAAATAAAACACTATCGGAAGCTGAGACCCGAGAACAAGAGGCATGTTACAGTTTATTACGCTACAGAGAGCTGACAGGATGATGGCAGAGTTTACGCAGAGTTTAAACTCAACTAAAATAACTACAACTCTTTCATGTAGCCATAGCAGGCTAAGCGCACTACACAGGAAATTGCTTATCAATTTAATCTTGGCTGTTGTTGTGGCATTAGTAAGGGTTTATACCGCATTGACCACTGGCATATTTCTGCTTTTTACTTCACTTTCAACAACATTTGAGATTTGTCATGGGACTCCCCGACAGGTAGCAGTCATACCTACTGTGGCCACTAGAGGGCCTCGTAAACTGAGCCAAAAAGACTCCCTTCACTGAGGCAGCCGATTCTTTTTAGGGGAGAGAGACTGGGCGAGATATTAAATTAGTATTTGTCTCACTTGGTGTTTCGTTTGTTGCTGCTATTTCACACAATCGCCGCATTCTTGGACCTATTTTAGCCACCGCCCTACAACTGACATCAAATGTTTCTTTCTGCCTTGGTCTTTGTGTCGACAACGTTCTTAAAATCTTTCATTTGTGATCATCTGATTGGGTTAAAATTACTTTTTGGAGATTGAAATAAAAATTTTATTTGTTTTGATGATGCCCTCTTGCTCTGGTATAAGCATGACTAACTGAACATCAGCTTGACTTGCAAACAGAAGTGAATAGAATTAGCAAACTAATTAACCAAAGGAACATTTCACTTTTTTGGGGGGAGGGGGGATATTGTATTGATGTTAGATTCGAGATGATCAAAGGGTTTGCTTTAAATGTTACTCAACAGAGAACTTGGGTGACATTTGCTGTGGCCTAAACTGAGCTTTGTTTCATATCCAGTTTATATCAACACAACAAAAAATATTTTTTGCCCCTCTGAATTAGTGTATTCGTTTGTCACTGTGAAAAAAAAATAAGAAGAAGGCTATTGTCTTCTCATTCTAGAAAACATATAAATTATATTCATGATATACAAGATTTCCAGTCCTTGATAATCCTTGTTCTGCAATCCCATTTTGTCAGAAAGCACAGGCGCAAACAACAGCCACCACCACTATGTTGCCGATGGTTGCCAGGACAGCGATCCACAGCCAAATTGTGTCGCTGGATACTTTGCCATCATCTTCCGTCTCTGACGGTCGGGAGTAGCCAGCGTTGAGGTTGGAAGTAGACGTCTGCAAGGACGTGTTGCCATTGTAGGGAGAATCCATGCAGGCACCGCTCACAGTCGGAAAATGCTGTCGGGATAATGAGGGGGGGTGAGATGTCATAAATTCTGTCACTCGTCACGTTCACCTTTTTCTGTTTTTAGGTCAGTGGTTAACTTATTTTGACATGTGTGACAATTATGCATGTTATAGTCTTCATCTTGAGTTACAAGTGTTTTTTTTTTCCTTTAAACTTTTATGGCAATCGAAACCTCAGGAAATGGTGTTCATTTTATGGGGTCAACAATTTGATCCTGAGACAGATTCTTCTATTTTGTAACACCGTTTCAAAATCAAAAGACAACAGTTAAACCATTGATTGTCCTCATACATGCTTTATGGGGACATGAGTTGAGCACTGTTGGTTCTGATTGAGCACCTTCGAAGTTTCTCACGGCTTCTGCCCTCATAAACACAAAACAGTAATCAGAACAACATGATTGAACAATGCTCCATTCAGGGGATTCTAACTTCACAGCTGCGCCAGGCTCTGGATAGTTTTGGTTTACAGTAAACAGCAATCCACATCTCACTGGGTTTAATTCTCAGAGGAGTAACAAAGTCTGCCACGTGTTGGAAACTTTTGCTTTCCTCACACACACACACACACACACACACACACACACAAGTAAAGAAAGCCACCGAGAGAACTTGTGAGGCCAGTTTTTGCTTCGCTGGATCTGCGTGTCTGTCCATTGGGATGGTAATCCACAGTATCCAGTCAACCAGTAAAGAAACTTGGGCCATATTTGATATTTCATAACCCAAATCATGCACACACACAAAAATTCCAACACAAGACCCCTCCGATATATTTACTTGCAGCTACCAGCTCTTTACTCAGGAATGAGACTTATAAAGAGGTGTTGAGTAACACTTATTTGTTTTTTTTTAACACAGCTTCAGAAAAAAGACAAGATGGCAAACGCAATCTGCAAAACACAACAACATGGCACATTCAGTCACACAGGCTGACCAGAGACCATTAATAACTCTAGCTGACTTGTTCAACCGAGTTTGACCCTTTAACTTGGGGGCTTTTCAGCAAGTTAAATGCCAATTTCAACATTAATTCCATGACTATTAAGAAAGTCAAATCTGGATTTACTTAGTTTGGGCGCAAGGACAATTTGTGTCTGGAAAATTTTAAAAGTTCGTCTGCATTTGGACTGGGGTGGGGGATACTTCTGGGGGGCCACATAATGATAAAACATTTCCTACAGCACAGTATACATTAGGACAGTGCACGAATTGGTGGTCTTGAATTGATTAGGGAGTTGGCCTTTAAAAACAAACGCCAAACAAGTATTTTCAGAACTGAGTCATATCGTATATACACACACACACACACACACACACACACACACACGTCTCACGTCTATGACTTATGTACCGGTATGTGGGAGAAAGAAGCGCATAAGCAGTGCAAAGACCAGGAGTAGCTTTATGGATGGGGAGAGGGAAAACTTGCAGGCGTATAGTTGGACGAGTTTCGGACCAAATGTCAAACGACATATCCTTACGACGCCAGAATGTGCAGCATGGCACAGGACAAATTCCCAACCAAATAGGTGCAGCAAGACTTGTGTGCATGCATGAAAATTAGGGTACGCCACACTTTCCTCATGTGCCGTCCACAAAAGTAGAGCTATGGCTCTTCTTTGCTTCAGAGTTAGTATCAGCTAGACTCACATCTCCTGCCATCCATGCAAATGCAATTAGACATTCATAGCACTTGGACCAAAGCCTTAATTTCCTTACATCTGCCACTTTTTTATTAAATGTCATGAATGGGAAGAAAGATTCTGCTCAAGGGATCTTTATGCACCAGTGTCTCTCATCCTTCTTTGCACTTTCCATTGTCTGTTTTCCGCACATGAGTCGCGCATGTCACAGTGAAGCATATCTAATGAGTAGAGGGAACACGCACGCGCACACACACACACACACACACACACACACACACACACACACACACACTGAGCTAAATGGAGGGGTGACAAGCTGTTCGTTCACAGTAAAGTTACAGTTACATAAGACCGATGGAACATCTTACAACACCTGTAAACCGGCACACATACAGGTGCATCACAATGAATTTGAATATTATCGAAGAGTCAGTTCAGGAATTAAATTTATGAATAAATCTCATATCATATAAATTCATTAAACACATGGAAAATGTTTTTTTTTCAGCCCCAACCTTGTAATGGATATTAAAAAAAAAAAAAAAAAAAACGTTTCTGTTTGATTTAAGATTCTAATTCCTTGAAATGGTTCATGTTGGATCCGGTTAGCGTGTCCGCCTCACAGTGCAGAGGTGCAGGGTTCAAATCCGGCTCAGCCTTCCTGTGTGGAGTTTGCATGTTCACCCCCGTGCCTGCATGGGTTTTCTCTGGGTACTTCGGTTTCCTCCCACATTCCCAAAACATGCGTGGCAGGGTAATGGAACACTCGAAACTGTCCCGCGGTGTGAGTGTCAACGCGGGACAGTTTCGAGTGTTTTTAGATTATTGTAATATTTTTAGTTGAGACTGAAACAAATTTGTACTATTGAGAAATAATTTTTTTTTTCTTTGAACATGCATTCATTAGCCGGTCTTTTGTACTTTGACATGAATCATGGTCATCACTTAGTCTTTTTTTTTTTTTTTTTTCGAGCAGCCAGACCAAGTCACAGAGCAGTGACACCAGCTGCAGGAGTCGCTCAGCATGCACATTCGAAAACACCGCCAGTCAGTTTAGGACAATCAAAGGGAGGCTGTTCAGTGAGACGTGAGCAGTAATCATCGAAAAATAACAACTAAAATTGTACAAAGGAAATTATGCAAGTAAGGAAAATGTGCTGATGCTGAAACAAAGAACCGCAGCGTGGCTTTATCACAAATGCACCAACATTATACATTTTGATCTGTACCCAGACTTAGAACTGCAACCAATGAACTTACACAAACATTGCAGCTGCAATCATTTCAAATGAGTCACTTCAATCCTTAATAAAAGCTCTCACAAAAATCAGGACGGTAAAACTTCTGTTTACCATGAGAATACAATCACATTTTTCAAAAATGCTACAAAAACATTATTATAAGGAGGAAGGGAAGATCGAGGATGAGAAGTAAAAGCAAAGTACCTACAGGAGTCTGAATGCGAAGTAAGAAATAAGGTCCCCGCTGTCCTCTTGCTCAACACTGACTGAGACAGAGAACACACACGAGAGCAAAACATCACTTTAGTGAGACCTTGCTCAATGTTATGGAGAGAGAGAGAGAGAGAGAGAGACTAGATGATCACGCTGTCTCTGAGGACAAAGTGTGTGGACCAACCTCCTGCAGTGTGTGTGCGTGTGTGTGCAATGTGCATGCGTGTGTTGATGGGTACAGGTTGTGCTTTGTGATACACACAAGGACATAAAAGTGAACAGACGCAGCATGGAGAGGGTTTTTTTTGTGTCTGTCTCAGGTGTGAGTCCACCTGAACAGACGATACAGCCATCGGGTAGAAGCCAAAATTAGATGTCAGAGAGGAGTGCACCTGATGGGGGAAAAAAAAAAGAATAAAAGAAGGACGAAAAGGAATACTGTACAAGAGTGAGGTGGAGGTGAAGAGGCAAAGTAAGGAGGATGAACTCATGATGGAACAGGTGGTGATGAGATGTGAGGATCAAGGGATGAGAGAATATCATGAACGAATGGTGGGATGCGGTAATGGATTAGAGATGAGGAAGGAAAAGGGATGGACAGTGGTCATCGAGATGGCATGTCAATGGTGAGATTATGAGTTTCTGTATAAATGAGAGTGAATTAGGATGATGAGCAGACCACGGGATGCGGTGGGAATATAAGGGGATGAGTATGGAGGTCAGTCGGAGACTGGATGAGGTAAAAATTGCTTATGAGAAAAAAAAACAATGGAGGTGTAGATGTAGCGATGAAGAAGGAGGATGGATGGCTGATGAGATGAGGTAACGATCGGCATGAGAATCAATGGAGGACGAAATGGATTTAAAGACGAGATTGGGAAATGAAAGGATGATGGAATATCGCAGGAGGGTTCAGAGGCTGATGCGATCAATGATATCGATATCGAGTTCAAGCATTGAGACGAAGAAGGAAAGCATCACGATGAGTATGATGAGCAGCTGACAGAACGAGGGAGGATAATTAAGAGATGATGGGAGAGGAGTCGAACGATAAACAGATGGAGGTATGACAACCGAGGACGAAGGAATAATGAGATGTAAACACAGATGAGTTGGACAGAGGTTGGGAGATGATCACACGCTGGGAGTGAGGTAAGGATAGGATGATGGAGAGATGATGAAAGGGTGACAGAAATGAATTAGAGGGACGAACGGCTGATCGGATGAGGTAGAGAGAATTAGAAGGCTAAACGTGATGAGAGGAGGATTGGAAAATGAAGGGATTATGGCATGAGGCAGTGGTAAATAGCAAGTTGAGCACAGAGGGTTGAGGAACAAGAGAGAGATGTAGTAGAGGATGGTTGGTGGCACATTTTGCTGCTGAATGGAGCATTATTGTTCGGCGGCGGCGGATGAATAAGACAGAAAGAAATCTTTTGTAAAATTGGCTGATTGTAAGACAAGATGACCAAAACGTGATTAGCGACTTAAAGCTTTGAAAGTCAATGGGGAGAATATAGTATGACCGCAACACTATAAAAAAATATAACTTGTATTTATTTGGGCTAAAAGGTTAGAGTAATTGAAGTTCGAACCACAATATTTATGGCAACGGTGTAAATTGGTGCAACACAGCCAGCAGGGTGTTTTTCCGAATATTTTTAAGTTGGGGTTCAATAAAAGAGGCAACCCTTCTGAAAACTCTGAAATTTAAAATTTGAATTGCCCATCTTATTATTATTTTTTTTTTTTAAGTTTGTCACCTTGAAATTTTGAGTTCACGCAATATGTTTTTGTGTTGTCAGGCCGGCATGACAGTGCAGTTGGATTAGTTTTTCATCCATTTCGGAGTAAGCCTGATTTTGATTTGGGGATATCCAATTTCATGTCACTTGAACCATGTCGTTTGAATCTTTCCAAAATAATTTGCTGGATAAAACAGATGTAAATATTCCAAAAGTGCTCCTAAATTCAAAAGGTCACCACAGTATTAGCATCTTTTTGTCGCTCACTCTGTCGTTGTGTTATGTAATCCACCAACAATTGGATTGGTTTTTTTTATTTGGTTATTTATTTATTTATTTTGCTGCATGCATCCTGCAATCTCTCAAGCCATCGCTCACATCACAATTGGATGCATTCAGGACATCCCGGAAACGCATGCAGCGGTGCGTGACTTGTTGGGATTAAAGAGAAACATCACTTCAATCCTCAAAATCTCACAAGGAAATCCTTGCAACATGACACTTCAAGAGCACGGTACAATTATGATACGTCATGAACAACAATTCCTGGATTGCCCGAGTGTGGGGACGTGTCCTGTGCGTAGAGCCTGGAGGGAAGAAGTATATTGCATCATTTGTGTGCAGCTGCTTCTGTACATGAGTTGTCCATACACAGGTGAATGTATAGGGGAAAAAAAAAAAAAACATTGTGCGTGAAAGCCTACATATCTATGTACTGTACTCTCGTGTGCGTGCGTGTGCATGTGTGTGCGTGTGTACATACATTTGCGTGTGCCTTTGTGTGTGTGTGAGTGTGTGCAGTGGCTTACAAAGTTACATCATGTTCTCTTAAGTTAAGAGGGGATTCAGAAACCGCTTGTGGTGATTCCCCAAGCGCACACAAGACGAATGGATCTGCACACATATGCAGCAGCAACGCACATCAATATCGATGTTTGAAAATAAATCACTGACTTTAGTTCATTCATCATTATTTAATTGGTTAAAGAGTTTTGTTTCATTCGTATATTTGACTAAAACAACAATATATATATATATAAATATATATATAAGGATTCTCCATCTGTAACTGCTGAAATGAAAAGAGGGAAAGGGAACCCAAGTGAAAAAAGAAGGGGTGAGTAAACAGCCCGGCTGCAGCCAGCTGTTCCTTTTCCCTCTAAAACATCTGTTGGGGTGGTAAAAATTCAGAATTCCAGGAGATGATGAGAAACAAAGGACTTAGGATATGGTCGTATAAAAATTGACGTTCAATTCGCTGGACACTTCATTAAGTACACCTGAGTATGTATTTTCCAAAAATATCCTGTCAAGAGCTTGATCAACATTCTGCCTTGGGAGTCAGTTGCAGAAGTATTCATGAAACTATATATAAAAAATATATTTTTTTTTTAATCATGAGTCTTCCTTGCTAGCAGCGGCTTTCTAAGAGATGTGACATCACTTTTTCTTGTCTCCTGGGTGAAGCTCAATTGAACTGGCGCACGATGACTGTTTTCCAAATGAAGTTTAGAAAAAAAAAATAGCATCATAATGCCTTAGTTATCGAGCCATGTAATGAAAAGAAAATACAACATCTTGAGCATGTCTGCTGGGAAAATAAGGCTGACTGAACTTATGACGGAAGGGGAGGGAGCAAGAATAACAGAGAGCAGGAGAAAAGGATTGAGAAAACCCTGCAGAGAAAAGGTATGGCGAGGAAAACTGCGAGGGGTATAAAAGTGACAGAGTGAGACAAAGAGAGGTGGGGTTGTGTTCCATGGGTGGCTGAATCTTTGCTTATCTTTGCCCGAGGCCTTCAAGCTGACAGACGAGCAACGAGCAACATTCACTGACATCACGGAGTAACACTGTCCGGCTCTCATTAGACCACTTCATATGTTCTATACACACTCATACTGTAACTGTGGATGCACATATTGGATGCATCCAGGTGCACAATACGCAGGCATTCCATTAGAACACGTTTTACTGGGTCAACCTACACAAGTAGGTCCCAAGGTGGTTAAGTTTATTTCTGCTTGAGGTCTTTCATCATATGGCGTCCTCTTCCCTTCTGTTCCCATCTGTCTCCTCTCCCGACATAAATACTGTACTCACTTAACATCGGTATCCATTGTGTTCCAAGCCATATAACATTCAGGATGTGAAAAAATACACTCACTTACTCAAATATTGGGTAGACGTAATTTAATGATCTCACGAAATCCATTAATTACCGACACAAAACAAAAAAGACAAGTGGTGTTGTTTTGATAGCTTCATGTTGTTGTTGTTGGTGAGCAGAATTACACAAAATACTGAACCAGAGGTGGGCACGTCAGTAAATTTTGTCGGTCCATCAGTCGCCACCTGTCCGTCATCATTATTCCAAGCCACACCAAAACTCTCATCTCAGTCCATTACTCCATCATGGTTATTTTTAACCGCGTTTCCGTCATTGATAAATTACAGTTCGATGCCACTATTTTAGGGCTGTCAGTTAATCTTCTTCTTCTTCGGTGGTCTCGGGTCATATTCACCAATAGCAGTGGGCATGAATAACAATGAATTATTTTGGTGTCAAATAATACCAAAAAAAAAAAAAAAATCTCCTCCTTGAAATTTCATCAAGGTTTTGAAATGTGATTTTCAAATACAATTAAATTAGTCAGTCATATTTGTATATTATTTTTCAAAAGTGGAATAAGGTTACAAGTATCAAAGTCCTTTTCTGTGTGTGTTTGAGGGGGAGTCTTATGGCGCCGCGGTTTGAAAACCCCTGCATTAGTGTGCGAACTGTTTCAAAAGAGATTTGCGTGCAGATGGGACACACATTACATACACGCACCTCTTAAAATACGTGTGTATGTTTCATGCGCCGTTAAGCTCAATTTCATTAACTGTGTGCTCCACTGAACAGACATATAGCACCTCTATTCCTGCCGCATGTTGACCTGAAGTATACACTTTGACTTTAAAAAAATGCCCTCATCTGTTTCTCCCATTCCAAAATATTAGATTTGGACTTGATCATTTCGAATGGTTTCAGCCATGCAGTTTTCAAGCCATTATGGAATCAAAGCTCTATAGAGTCAAAACATGAAATGATGAAATGTAATTTCTCTAATTGTATCATACCGTGACATTACAAACCCCCCCAAAAAACTTGTACCAATGAATCCCCAAGTAACACTTGGCTGAAAATTGACATAACTTACATAAGAGGGACGCCATTGTTTCCGTCCACATGCGTGTGATGACTTTGTTTATCGTTCTAATCTGTCATGCTCACCCCCCTCCTGAATGAATAAAGCATTACGGGGCCTTACATTATGCGTGCCATGACTCATGAGTCATTCGCCTGTGTGCCTAATGTGTTCAGCAGTAACATGTCCTCAGGTTATCACTAGAGGTTGGCTCAACGCTCTACGTCCGTATGATGACATGCACTGTGAGTTTCAAAATTAAGTCTGAAGTATGCATGGATGTGGGAACCTTGATGAGGACATCTACAATTGAAATCGTCTCCAAATGATATGTATGGAGGATTTCTCAAATGACAAGGTCAGAATTTACATTAGGCTCATTTTTTTGTGGTTCTCTGTTTATGATCACCTGCCATTAGTATTTTGGCTTCAGCACGTGGGCACTTTGAGAGAAAGACTACTAAAACACTCCAGAATACATGAACAGGTTATTGAGAGTAATGACAGATGGTCTTTAAAAAAAAAAAAAAGTAGCAACGCAGATATTGGGGTTACATAACGTGAATCCCATTCAGTCAATGGGCCTTATTTTGGTCGAATGTCAAATGTGCATTTGCAAATTTGGTTAAAAGTCAACTGGATTTTAGACTTGCTAAAAGTAGGTCAAACTCGTAGCATAGGTGGTGTAATATATAGAGTCGGTCTTTTCACTTTATTTATTGCTGAGAACCTTTATTTATTAAAAAATACAAAATCATTGGATTAAAAACACTACTTTTATTAGGTACATGTACAGCCTGAGATACAATACAATAACACAATAGGTGTAAAGAAGTTACATTTCCAGCTTGTTGACATTGCCAAACTAACATTATCTTTGCGATGTCCATTTTTTTTAAATATGCATGCATTAGTTTGTGAGTCAGATTACAATATTGTGCATGTGGACCAAAGAAGGGGCCAATAAGTTTAAATCAAAAATGGATACAGTATATATTCATTAAATGACCGAAGAATACAGACTGGGGCTTGCTCATCTTGTGTTTGGACTAAGGCGATCCATGTACTGTAGTTGAACCTGATTTCCAAAGACAGATCTCCCCGAGTTTCTCCACACAGCAGGCTGTTAACAGCACACCTTTTGTCGACAACGTGGCCAATAGAACAATTACTACTGCATGAAAAACGACATCCTTTGTATCCCTTTTGAGTGAAATCAAGAAAAAAGTAGCTCGCGTGCATGTACATGTGACACAGAAGCAACGTGTGCCCTTTTTGGGCACAGACAGTCCATTTGGGAGAGACTCATTTTCCCTGAGGTGCACGAAGTCCAGCTGTCAGCATGGAGAAAGACAAAGTCACCATGGAGACATTTAGTGAGAGTGGCGAATGATATCAGACTTAAACTGTGTGCTAAAGTAAATTACATAGCACATTTTCAATCCTATATCACCTGGGGATTACAATTCATTACGGTACTTGGCCGATCTTTAGAACGAGTTGAAAAGCAATAATTTGTGCAGATAAAATATATACACAGTTTAGATTAAAAAAAAACACACACAAGGAAGAGTCTGAGTTGGTTTTCCAAAATGCGAGCATGCACTTTTGTAGATCGATACCTATCAGTCGATCCTGGACATGACAAACAACAGTACATAGAATTAGACGTCATGAGGACACTAAAGGATGACGTACGACTGCGCTGCAGCAGACGTCTGGTCGCTCGAAACAAAAATGACGCAAACGAAGCGTGCTTGTTCAGAGACCGGTCGAGGTGAAGCTTTGTTTTAAAAACTTCAATCGAATCTTGGTAATATTTCTAATGGCAGAGACTGGCGAGGCCGACCCGGAAGAGGTTGTCAAGAAACTTGCGTACAGCTTCCCTATCGTCAGGCACACGGACATGCCAGAGGAAATGAAGGAGGAGGCTATTGCGCTGTGCATTTCAGCCTTCGAAAAGTGTTCCAACAACAACGAGAACACAGCGAAGATGGTCAAGGATTCCATGGACAAGATGTTTGGAACTGCGTGGCACGTAGTGATCGGCGAAAGTTTTGGCTTCGGCGTCACTCATGAGGCGAAGAATCTGCTCTACATGTTCTACGGAGGGAGCTTGGCCATCTGTATTTGGAAGTGCTGCTAGCACTGACAATTGGTCCTCTTCCTCATCATCTCTCGCAAGCTTCTATTTGAACAATGAACCATCATCTGATTATTTGAATCATAAACTATTTTGTTGAAATGTTTGGTCATCGAACGGCCAACGTAGACAACTTCCTTGTTTACAACGTTTTTCATCTTCAGTTAATTTCGGAGCGGGAGCATTTGGTTTAGTTCCTCATTATCGCCATCTACTGTCTGGAGGTTGTAGGGAACACTTAAAACACAAAGACTTCTAGGAAACCTGACAATACTGTACAGTACACAGCATAACACGATATTCTTTCATCTTGTTTTTAAAAGTGTATGGACTCATTACATTTTGTTTTGACAACAAATTGTTTAATCATTGAATATACGCTTTGTTAAATGAGAAGTCATGTAAAACATGAGCACCGCTGTCTTTTAATAACACGACTATGTCCATTATTGAATATATTAATAAATTGCTCATACTTGCGCCTCACGTACAGAATCAACGTGTGTTTTTTTTTCACTGACTGCAACAAGTTGGCTACTTATATGATGAACAATTTTAACTATTAAATGACTCCGAAAGTCACAGCCTTAAAATAGCTTCTGCCGCCCCCTTCAGGGCACTGACCGCTATTGAAGTTCTGAACTGACATTTTCGTTCACTTGTTCAAAAAACATCGAGTGAAGCGAACAAATGAGAGTACGCATTGTTTGAGTTGAGTATCTCCTTGTATAGTTTTGTCTGCTGCCATACGTAGTGTTGTGGTTCGGGGCAGGGTTCGATTCTGGCTCCGGCCTTACTGTGTGGAGTTTGCATGTTCTCCCGAGCCAGCGTGGGTTTTCTCCGGGTACTTGTTCAAAAAACAAAAATAGGCCGAGAAACCCTCAAGACGACAAGTAGCAAACCTATCCACTGGAGAGCAGCATCGTAACCACTCACGAGCCAGCCTGCGAGAAAGTGAGTAGACGAAGAAGTTGCCAGTGAACCCAAGCCGCTAGCTTGACG